CATATATGTTGACCTTACATTTCTTCTTTATTCATTATAACTTATTATCGGATTCAAAAAATAATTTATATATGTTTTTAAAAAATTGTTAATTTGTCATGTTGCATCAATTGTCTCGTGGTGAAGGCTAGGTGAGTCAAGTTACAATCGAGACACGTGACATTCAACTTGCTATGGCTAAGTAGAAAGAGTCACATTTTGACTATCAACTATAACTTTTGGCTTAATGGTAAGCGCTTGATCCAACAATTAGTATCAAAGCCAAGATCATATGTTTGATTCTAAGTAGGAGTAATAGTTAAGGGGGATATTGTTTGTTTGTTAGGTGACATTAATTGTCCCGTGACGGAGACTTAGGTGGGTCAAGTCACAATTGAGACACGTGATACTTGAACTGTTATAGTTAAGTAGAAAAAGTTACATTTTAACTATTAGTTATAGATTTTAGCCTAGTAGTAAGTGTTAAATTCAACAAATTTTATATTAATTAATATATCCATATTCTCGTGCATTGCACAAGTCTACAATCTAGTTCAAAAAAACTTTCGTAATCAAAGAGCTTCCAACAAAATATTTTAATTTCTTCTTACTAAGAGTTCAAATATTATGTTTAGGGATTTTTTTCAAGGAATAAAGAGTAAAGCCATCAAAACGAGTCACAACCGACAAGTTAACTTGGCCCACCATGGATTCGAGTCAGGTTAGGTTAAAAAAATTACAAATTTTAGTATTATTGAAAATTAAACTTGACACATTAAGAGAGAAAATATTTTATTTTATTTTAAAATTAAATTAAATTACTATTATATCTTTTATACAAAGTAACCAAATTAAAAGAAATGAGTGATTTTCTTATACTAAAATTTTGGTGTAGGTTATTGTTAATATACTTCAACTAAAAAATAGGTGAAAGTATATTAACAATGAGTTAATCACTTATACACTGTCAGTGTAAAATTTTTTTACACTGGCAGCCAATTAAATTTTTTAATTGTGCTATGTTACTGATAAAAATAAATGTGTTTATAGTGACATGTCACAATTAAAAAATATAATTAGTTGTCAGTGTAAAAAAAAACTTTATACTAACAATGTATAAGTGATTAACTCATTAACAATCTCATATATAT